AAGTTTAAAGCCTTAAAGGTAAAAATAGGGTTTTTATTTGCTTGTTGCTCATTGCATAGCTTTTTACTTAAACATTAAAAAAAGATCAGCATACTTTTTGGACCTACCACCTTTTTTTTCTGTAGTAAGAATCATACTTTAGGACTACAAACAAAATAAAACCATCATGTCTTAAACTTATTATGAAAGTGCACTTAAACTGTTTTAGTTAGAATATAGAAAATAGCCACTTTAGTTTTTGTTTTTCCAGATTAAACCATTTCGAGAGGCTCACCTCAATCGAGAAAAAGACAACGAACTTCTGAAACTTTCCAAATACCTGAAGCATCTAGCAGCTGTTGAGGACATCAGCCAAGTGAAACACAAATACTGGGAAAGGTTAGTTTCAGTCATCCTCTCATATAAATTTTATTTCATAGAATTGAATTATCCACTAATCATGTGCTTAAACTCCAAGAATTTTAAATTATATTTATCCAGATTCCTCTAGTTAGTGTTTATCTCATACTTTTTACTTAGTTGTAGCAAAGTAAATTCTTAACTTTTGGGAAAAATTTATATTTTAAAAATGCATAAAAGTTATATTACTTTCTGTTGTAAAGTGTAAATAATATTTAACTAATATAAATATAGATACTACACATGCATGGCAGAATAGAGTAGATGTCTCATTAATTATTGTTTGCAATTGGTTCAGGTTTGATAAAGCCACAACAACTGCCAAAATAGAACATGTATATTTTATATTGTCAATCAGTTTGAAACTTGACAATATGGAGATTGACTGTAATTTTAGCACTGTTATATTAAACAGATATTTGTTTAATATACATCTTACTCAGTGACAACAAAAGAAAATGCATTGACAACAAATAATAAATAGTATGCTACTTAGATGCATAATGGAACAACAAATGTTTACCCATTACAACTCTGAAAATATTACTTAGACACCATAGAAAAATAATTTTTCTCTTCATCATGGCAAGAAATAGTATTTAAATTTATAATTTTCATTATGTTTTATCAAAGGAGATTTCAAACTATTTTAGTGATACAAATTAATACTCTTTGCTTTATATATGGGTGACAAAAGACCTCATATATATATATATATGAGTAAGTCAGTAATTTGTCACTTTAAAACCTGTGATGATTCATATCATAATAATAATAACTAGGTGATAAGGTCCACTCAAAGACTACAGAACTAAGAAAATTCATAAATGGCTATTGTCATCTTTCCTAATAATGTATTTATTGTGAAAAGAGTCAATAAGATTATTATAGACAAGCAGCAGCCTACTTGCTGATCCAACAAAACTAAACTCAAGCCTCAGCTTGTGAATGAGCAAGCTCTCTTTTATTCAGAGCCCTTGCCTACCATTGGCCCTTGCTAAGATCTTAAACAAATTGGAATGGACAATAATATCACATTTTCCTATGGCATGTTAAAGTACATTTGACTTGATAGGGGATCTTAGGTTAGCACATTATTTTACACATGTTAGCAATTTTCTTTTCATAAATAATTACTACAGTATTATAATTTTAACTTAAGGGTACTAGTGGAACTGAGAATGTTGATTTCGGGACTCATTTTTATATATTGCCAAATTATCCTTTATTTGGTGGCTCTGTTCATCATTGGTCCTAGCCAAGATTTTAAATAAATTAAAATAAACAGGAATGTTACATCCACCTAGGGTGTTTATAAGTATATTCGACTTGACTGGTGACCTTAGGTTACTATGTGGTGGCTTTAATACCACTGACATTGGCAAAATTATATTCCAATTACACCTGTGAGCTTGTGAACATATGGGAGTATCAAGCAGAATTGGTAAAAAATTATCAAATCCACCAGACTCCACAATTCATACACTTAGTGAAAACACTAACCACCCTGTCGTGATTACAAATTTCAAAGTCATCTCATCTGGATCATCCAATATTGAACTTTTAATTAAAGAAAGTTTATCTATTAGTAATGAACTCCCAACTTTAAATAATAACACAACTTCACTACAATTAAGTCTGTTTTGAATACTTGTATAATATTATTTTATTATTCTATTCTTTATTTATTTGGTTGTCTATTAATTTACTTCATCCTTTTATTCTGTATTTTAGTTACTTTTTATAAAATGTTTAAACTTTATAAATATTTGTACCTATTAATTTATCCTGTTCAGTATAGCTTGCTGAAGATGGAATATGTATATTTTGAAACTTTCAAGAAGTAAATATTTGTTACTGTACACACACGTGTCAAATGTTCATTGTTGCTGCCATCCTTCTGTTATTCATCAACAAATATCTTTCATAAAAACTGAAAGCAGGGACAAGTACATTTATAAACAACAAAAGAAGATTGTAAATATGGAATTTAGTCCTTAAATTTAAAAAAAAAAGAAGAAAGAAGGCAACAATTAGGTTTAAAAATGCACCTCAGTTGTATCTGCAGGTATACCATAGGATAACATTTTTCAGCTGATTCTCAATGATCAAAGAATATTTACAGGATGTAACCATACTTCGATTATTTAAATAACAACAAAGTATTCTCTCGATGAATTAACTTTTTTACACATGAATTCTGTATTATTCAAAAATTCTTTATCATATGTACTAGATACCTCATAAGCATGGTGAAAAAGTATATTAACAAAATTTTCTTTAAGTATGGTACGAATGAAGCTTACAAAATTAAAATAAAATTCTGTAAAAGTTTTCTTATGATAAACTTCATATGTAAAATGTCCATTATTATTATTTACCAGTGTCCAATAATGGAAGTTTATGATCCTCCTGATTTCCAAAATGATATCTCATTTCCGCACACAGCTTCTATTGTCTTGAGTTCATGCAATCTCTCAGAGAGATTTGTAAGCCACCAACCATGTGAAAACTCGCACCTAATCTCACATGAAGATACGGGAACTTGCACCACTGAATGATGATGTCATCATGCAGCAGAACCTTCCACAAATAGGACTGCTACATACCTACGTGCACAATGACTCTCTTTACATTTGCACTCGTGGATCTGGATTCTTTTCCTCAGCACTGTAGTGCACTGATGTGTTTTTGAGTTTGCTGAGATTTGCAATTTTTTTCAAATTTCAACTTTTTATTGATTGAGTTTATTAAACTAAACATAAAATTACAACTTAATGTGAATATTTGTAAAGCTGATGTGAGTGAAGAATCTCCTCACACAAAACAAATTGATGCCATTCCTGCCATTATTTGGTGGGGTCTATTATGCAGCCAGGACCTTCTGCTCACTTCCTTTCCCCCATTTTGTGCCTGAAACTGATGAGGACAAATTTGAGAACCAATTTTCACATTCAGGTTTGCATTGTGAACTACTATATCTAATGATTTCCTCTGACTTTCTTCACCTTATTTCTCAGCTATGTACAGTTATTTTTCTTATTCCATTGTCTTTTGACTCTTCCTTTTTGCTTTTACATAAGCCTTTCCTTGTCATTTCTTTATATATCTTCCCTCTTTTCTTATAGCGATTTATGGCACTTCTTTTCAGGCTCACCTTCTCTCCCTTTTAGTCATTTGTATTTCCTGTTCCTGGACTATCAATTTTCAGAGCCAACTTTACAAGTTTGAGGGGTCAGATCAAGACACACGGTAGTGTGTTGTGCAGTCAAAAAGTAACTAAACCACATGACACAAAGTGTGTTATTGACAGGAATGAAAACTTTGTGCTTTTCAAACATCTGTATAATTGCTACCATTAATCAAAACTATCCTGTTTTTTGTATGGTAAGTCTCCTAGGCCTTCTTACCTTACATTCACAATTTCAAAGAAGTTGCTTTAACCCTTATAATTTTACAGCAGGCCAAACTTAGCCTGAAATTCTTTGTTTTCTTCTTCACACCAGTAAAAAAAACAAAAAACTTCCTTTTCAAATTTGGTACACAGCTGGCATATATGTTCACCTAACTTGACAGAACATTTGGTGTAGTAGCTCAAGTATTCTTGGAGATGTGGGCAAAACTTATACTACAATATTGTAAACTTTTGCACTCGCCTGGACAAAAATTGGCTAACTTGATCACTCTGAAAGTTCTACCATGCATTGATGTATTTTTAAAAGTGGACCATTTTTTATTCTATAAAAAGCGGACATGAAATCCAAAGGTTATGAGACCAAAACTACCATTGTGTAAAAATTTTCAAACTATTTTTCCATGCTACTTTGCATCACACTTCAGACTAATAAAAACACTTCTTGCTATGTGATTGTTTTCATTTCTAACATATTTTGTAATATAACTTTATCTATTATATAAAACTATACAAGGAACATGATATCTATTGAAAAACAACTTGGCTGATAAAGTGTGGACAAAAATAAAGCAACTGAAAGATATGAACTCAAATTTATTGAAATATTGAAGAAACTCGCATGCAATTATAATGTCTCCAAATTTAACATACGTGCTTGATGGTAATGATTCCAAACTATATCTGAGTATCAAATTTATGTCCGTTGTGGTTATTTTTACCTAATGTACAACAAAAAAAGGTGTGGCCAAAAAAGAAGAAAAATTAATTGTGACACAAAGATGTGAAATTAGAGTTTGTCGCCAAAATGAGAAAAAATATTGATGATTAAAATTGTATATAAACTATTGTGGCTAAGTATTCAATATTTTACAAAATTTGTAGAGTATGCATATCTACTACAAGAAATCACATGAGGCACTATTGTTTTGTTGGTTGTGGGTTTGCACTCCATTTTATGTTAATGACAGGATTCTCCTTTACTACTCCCATGCATAATACTCCAAACATCACTTTCCTTCATCTTTGCAACTCCTATCACTTAGAGCAAGGAAATTGTTAACTCTCAACAATAAACTTCATACTGGTGTGTTCACTGTTCAATTATTGTAAAAATCAGGAGACCTGATCAGAATTTTTCAAAATGGTGAAGGTATTGGCAAGAGATGGGGGCTAATCTTGAACCCATGGCAACACCATCAATCTGATCATACATCTTCCCAATAAAAATGAAACTGAGCTACAGATTGCTTTGAAATATAGTAAGAAGTAAGATTTTATAATTCACTCACTTAAAGAATTAGACATTACATTTTATATAAACAATAGTTAAGTTAATGTTATTACTCAATGGTCTTTAAAGTAAGGTAAGCACCTTTAAAATCAGGAGTCCTAATAAGATTTTTTTAAATGGCGAAGGTATCATCAACATATCTATAATAGTAAAGAGGTTTAACCTCTTGTGAGTAGTTGTCCAGCCATTACTTTTTATGGAAGTACAAAAACATATTGACAAGAGATGAGGCTAATCTTGAACCCATGGCAACTTTTATCAATCATACAACTT